GCGAGGATTGAGTTCGCTGCTCCCGCACCACTTGAAATTTCCAGTTTCCAATATTGCAATATTGCTTGCTGCTTCTTACTGTACTTGCTACTGTCCGCGCGAGGGGGGGGAACCGGAAACCACCCTGGTCAGCATCCCCGAATCGCGTGCTCTGAATTTCGGGGGGGGGCCGTGAGACATGTAAAAACATGATCGACCCACGACCCCGGAAATGAATATAGCAATGTAAGACATGGCATCGTTTCAAAGACACCTGATTGGGCGACGGGCAACTGCAATGCTTAGTGTATCGATCTTGACGTACCGTGCCGAGCGCTGTGCTGTGCTGAGCCGTGCTGAATTGCGATGTGCCATGCCGCGATTGTGCTCTATATGTAGCGTTGTGGATCGAGTCCTCCTTTGCATCCGAGTCCTGACCGAACTGATCTGGATCTTAAGCTCGAGCTGCCTCAGCACATAACAAATAGCTGCCCCAGAGCTGATTGACAGGGGAACATGCCAGGAGGACGCGCCGCGGAACGTCCCAAGGGACGCGCCAGGCGACGTGCCAGGGGACGTGCCATGGGGACGCACCGCGGGACGTGCCAAGGGGACGCGCTGCGGAACGTGCCAATGGACGTGACACGGGACGTGCCAGGGGACGCGCCGCGCGACGTGCCAGGGGGACTCGCTACGGGACGCGCCACGGAACGTGCCAAGGAACGTGACAAATTGCAATGCTGCGTGTATCGATCTTGATGCACCGTGCCGAGGGCTGTGCTGTGCTGAGCCGTGCTGAACTGCGATGTGCCATGCCGCGATTGTGCTCTATAGTGTTGAGGATCGAGTCCTCTTTTGCATCCGAGTCCTGACCGAACTAATATGGATCTTAAGCTCGAGCTGCCCTAGCACGTAGTAGCTGCCCCAGAGCTGATTGACAGGGGAACATGCCAGGAGGACGCGCAGCGGAACGTCCCAAGGGACGCGCCAAGCGAGGTGCCAGGGGACGTGCCACGGGGACGCACCGCGGGACGTGCCGAGGGGACGCGCTACGGAACGTGCCAATGGACGTGCCAAGGGACGTGCCAGGGGACGCGCCGCGCGAGGTGACAGGGGGACTCGCCACAGGACGCGCCACGGAACGTGCCAAGGAACGTGACAAATTGCAATGCTGAGTGAGTGTATCGATCTTGATGCACCGTGCCGAGGGCTGTGCTGTGCTGCGCCGTGCTGAACTGCGATGTGCCATGCCGCGATTGTGCTCTATAGTGTTGAGGATCGAGTCCTCCTCTGCATCCGAGTCCTGACCAAACTGATCTGGATCTTAAGCTCGAGCTGCCTGAGCACATAGTCCACATAGTAGCTGTCCCAGAACAAATTGACAAGAGCCTGTTTTTTTAGACTCTGGCAAGTTTGCTTGCATGGACGGGGGGGGGGCTGAGCCTGAAGCAAGCCGCAAACGACTTGCACGTTCGGGGGGGGTGGGGGGGCGGAAATCACGCAAGTCGAAAGGCACTTGCACGCTAGTATTCGCTTGAAGAGGGGCGAGGGGGGGGGGGGGGGGGGGGGGGGGGGGGGGCGAACGCCATGCAAGTAAACTTGCCTGAATCCAAACAAAAAACAGGCTCCAAGGAAACATGCCAGGAGGACGCGCCGCGGAACGTCCCAAGGGACGCGCCCGGCGACGTGCCACGGGGACGTGCCACGGGGACGCACCGCGGGACGTGCCGAGGGGACGCGCTGCAGACCGTGCCGGGGACGAGCGTCGTGCTGGTCGGCCTGGACACGTACAAACACGGTGCTAGTTCGGGACAGCCATGTTAGATACTCCAGATTTCGTAATAAAGGAAGCGGGGTCTCATTTCGGGGGGGGTCTCTTCCAGGCTATCTTGGAGGGCCTGGGGGGTCTGGGGACGATGTTTTGGATGGTTCTCCCACGGGGGAGGTATGAAATGGCTTGTCTTGGAGGGTCCAGGCCCCCTCCCTTTTATTACGAGATCTGGAGTACCCCCTGGGTGGCCTGGACACGTATAAGCACGTGGTTCCAGCTCGCGACAATCATGTTAGAGATCTCCCTGGGTGGCCCGAGCCTGAAAAAACACCTGGTTCCAGCTCGGGGCAGATACCCCCCTGCGTGACCTGGATACGCTGAATTCGCGCTCCCGCTCGAGACATCCTCGCAACGTCTTCCCTGGAGAGGCCTCCAAAGCGCAACCCCCTGTTCAGAGCAAGAAACCATCACTTTTCTGTATTGGGACATGTGTTCGGGTAGCGCTTTTCGGCCCCCCGTGCGTTTCCTCATAATTCTTCGTCGGGCCCAGCGCCATGTTAGATACCCCAACTCTGCAAAACCAGCGTTTCGCTGGAGACATCCTGAACAAATTCTGAAAACAAAAACAACCTTTCGCTCGAGACATACCCCCAACTCTGCGAAACCAGCGTTTCGCTCGAGACATCCTCAACACATTATGAAAAACAAACGTTTCGCTCGAGACGTCCTCAAGAATCATTCCGCCGGCCTCATTCAAACTCGCCATTTTTCGCAACATAATTCCTCTGGCCTCCTTCAAGTCGATTCAGGGGGTAAGCCTCTAAAAGAGAACCCTGGGCCCCCGCCCTTTCTGGGAATATATCAGATTCGCGCTCCCGACGCAATGATCCCTCGTAAGTTACAGTGTTCGCGCCTCCGAGGCCACAACCCTTAGCAAATTACATTGTATTCGCGCCTCCGAGGCCACGATCCCCCGCAAATTACATTACATTCTCGCCTCTTCGGCCCCCAAAAAATTACACCACAGTCGTGCCCCAGAGGCCACGATCCCTCGCAAATTACGACGCACTCGCAACCCCCGAGGCCACGATAACGTGTAAATTACGCCACGCTCGCGCCCCCGAGGCCACTATCCCGCGTAAATATCGCCACGCTCGCGCCCACGAGGCCACAATCCCGAGTAAATTGCGCCACGTTCGCGCCGGCCACGATCTCGTATAAGAGGCCCAAGTGGCGGCCAAGACGCGCCCAAGAGGCCTCCAAGAAGCCCAAAAGATACCAAACGAGGCCCCAAGAGGCCCCCAAGAGGCGTCCAAACCGCCTCCGAGAGGCCCCCGAGGGGCTCCCCGCGACACCCCAACACATGTACAAGAGACCTCAGACCCACAACCCAAGCACGGTGGCGGGATGGGACGAAAGCCACTAAGATCCGCCGCCCCCTGTCGATTCATCGCAGGGGTGCCTGGCGTGCTGAATCCTCTCGGTTTTGGTTTTGGTTCCCGTCTTGGGCCCTCAAGGGGCCCTCTTGGGCTGTCAGGAAGCCCGTTTGGCTTGTTTTGGAGCAGTTTTTTTGTTTTCCTAGCGATATCGGACGCTTGGAAGCCTGACTGAACGAGTATCCGCACATGTTTGTTAACATTACTTTGGCGACGTACCCAACCCTTGCGCAATGCGGGGCAGGAGTAGCTTGGGAGATTTGACGAGACGGCGGCGACGTGACATGGACGCACATACTTCTGCGAGCGGCATTCGGAAGGTTCGCAGGCCCCCAATCAAGGGAAACACGATGAGTAACTGAGTGAACCCCTGAGTCACTAAGGAAGACGCAAGGTCCGAAAGGAGACGGTGGGCAAGGGGTCTGAAACGTCGGCGAGGCAACAACAACATGACATGGCCCCCCAAAGACGGAAAGGCCCCGCGCAGGTCTGCGCAGTGCCTCATTCCGCTGGACCCACCAGCAGCCTTCGAAAGTGGCGAGCCCACCAGCAGCCCTCGAAAGTGGTGAGATTTTCATCCCCCCAAGAACGGGTATGTCCCGCTCATATCCGCGCGATGCCTTACTCCGCTGGACCCACCAGCAGCCCTCGAAAGTGGCGACAATTTCGCAGATCGCAGCCCCCCCGGGGACGGGGAGGTCCCGTTCAGATCCGCGCGGTGCCTCACTCCGCTGGACCCACCAGCAGCCCTCGAAAATGGCGACAGCTTCGCAGATCGCAGCCCCCCAAGGATGGGGAGGTCCCGTTCAGATCCGCGCAGTGCCTCACTCCGCTGGACCCACCAATAACCCTCGAAAGTGTCGACAGCTTCGCAGATCGCAGCCTCCCAGGGACGGGGAGGTCCCGCTCAGATTTGCCTCGCTCTGCTGGACCCACCAGCAGCCCTCGAAAGTGGCGACAGTTTCGCAGATCGCAGCCTCCCAGGGAGGGAGATGTCCCGCTCAGATCTGTGCGGTGCTTCACTCCGCTGGTCCCACCAGCAGCTCTCGAAAAGTGGCAACAGTTTCGCAGATCGCAGCCCCCATGGACGGGGAGGTCCCGTTCAGATCCGCGCGGTGCCTCACTCCGCTGGACCCACCAGCAGCCCTCGAAAGTGGCGACAGTTTCGCAGATCGCAGCCCCCCAGCCAAGGCAACTTGTGCATGCCGCCTCACCGCTCCAGCGACGGTGAAGAGCCAACGTGTGCATGCCGCCGCACGTCCATGGCGGCACACCCGTGATCTGGATTATGGGTTGGGGGGGCCCTTCGGGGTCTCGCGGCTTGTGGGGGTGAGAGCTCTGGAGGTGTTAGGGTTCCCAGGACTCACAGGGCTCATGCGGCACCGTAGTGGTCGTAAGGCTTGTGGGGGCGAGATGCCTCATATGGCTGATAGGGGTATGGCCTCTCGGGGCTCTCGTGGGGCTCCTTTTGAAGCTCTTTTGGGCTGTCTGGCGGCCCTCCTGGGCCGTCCCGGGACCCTCTTGGGCCGTCCTGGGGGGCTTGGGCCGTCTTGCGGCCCTCTTGGTTCTTCCTGTGGGCCTCCTGCGGCCTTCTTGGGGCTCTCTGGGAAGCCTTTTGGTGCTCTTTGGGGCCGTCTTGGGGCTCTCTTGGGTCGTTTGGGAACCCTTTTGGGCTGTTTTAGGGTTCCCTTGGGGCCTTCTTAGGCCGTCCTGGGGCGATCTTGGGGGTCTCTTGGGCCGTCTGGGACGCGGCGAAGGCCAACGAAGCGGATATGCTGTAAATCTACGTTTTCCTAAAGGAATGGGGCGATTTTGACCTCTTGGGGGTCTTTTTTTCCTCCAGACGAGAGCGAGCGTGGGGCCGCAAGCCCCAAAGTTATGTTCGGACGTCCCCGCGCGGGCCCAGCACGAGCCCGAAATGGGCCTCCAAAAAATCGGCACCTGACCTGGCATTCCAGGTGGCCCTCCAGGCCCAGAGAGTCCACGTGCGGAAAGCCCCCTCGAGAGGAGGGCGGGCGGAGCCGAAATCTTGAGGACAGCAAATTGTTGGATTGCGCGCGCGCGATGAACCTGGCGGCTGTCGCGAAAGAGTGCAACTCGCAGAAACTGCAAAGAACAGTCAGACAGGCCGGCTGAACTAAAAAGCGGTGATCTGCACGGGCACCAAGTGAGGCAAGGTAAGCACAGCACGAATGGACCCCCGCATCAGAGCGGACGGGACGCGTCGAACCGAAGGAAGGGACCCGTACCTCCCTCCCTTCTCTCATGAACCCCCCATCCCCCACAGTAAGTGGCGACGGACGGATCAAGCCAGACTCTGCTCGCGTGCCGTGCCCTACACGGGCATTGTGGAGGAGAGGCGGAGGGAGGGAATATTAAGTGACATGCGGAAAACAGAAGCCGGGATGGGAGGAGGGATGGGGGCAACGAGGACCCAAACCACAGTATGGTTGGGAAAAAAAAGTGCGTTTGAGGCCTCGCTCTAAGGCGCTGGCGGCTTTACACTGGTATCCAGCTGAGGCCCCAGAGATGTCACCAAGCTCACACCTGATCCATGAGCTGCTGCTTTTTCGCGTCGAACTCATCCTGAGTAAGCGCACCTGCATCGAGCAACTGCTTGAGCGACATGATCTTCTGGGCGACGTCTTGAGCCCCAATGACAACGGCGGTCGTTGGGGCCGCCATCATGTGTTGTCCTGGCGCGCCATTGGGCGGCCATGACAGACTTGCCGGCAAGGTAAAAATGACGTTGTAGCCCCGAGGTGGCCCCCGAGGGTGAAATCCAGGCATCAAAGGCTGCCCTTTCGAATCCACCCAATTCTCCTCGAAGCCCGCCACCTCCGTCAACTCAATGCGAACCCCAGTCAATCCCAGACTGCCGGGGAGCTCCTTCAGCTTCGCGTTGAACTTGTGGACCTTCATCTTCACGTAGCACCAAGGACAGGAGAGGATTCCCAGCGTGACGGAGCAGAGCAAAAAGGAGCAAAGTGCAAAAAATCACTCTCGGAGGGCTGGTTTGCTAACTCGGACCGGAGGGCGTCCATGATCTTATTGTAGTCGCCCTCAGGCACGTCTGCCCCAAGTGCAGGTTCCCACGGCGGGATTAGATGGTTGTTGCCCCGCGCATTCCAACCAATGTTGGCCCAGATCTCCTTGGGGTTAATCGGGTTCTGGTAGATGCGGCCAACATACATCACATTTGCCATTGCAGCGGAATTGGCAAGGAGGTCCTCAGACTGGCCACGCGGGAACGACTGAAGAAGGCAACTTGGGTCAAAGTGAACTCCTTGAGCAAGAAAGCCCCTTGAGCCAAAATGGCTACGGACCTCTTGGGGGTCTTCTTGGGGGCCTTTGGGGCGTCTTGAAAACATCTTAGGCCGTCTTGAAGCCACGTTTAGGCCTCTTTGAGCGCTCGTGAGCCGTTCTGGAGTGGTCTTGGGTTGCCTTGGGGCTTTGCGGGACCGTCCGGGGATGGCGGGGAGAAGCTCCCGAAACCGAAATTCGAATTTGACGTCGGTGGGAGCGCCCACGGCCGAATTTATGTACGGGGGGGTCAGGGAGGGTTTTCCGTTGTAAGAATATCCGAAGAGGAATCTCGGCGCACTTTTGGAGGGGAGGAGGGGGAGCGGACGCAACGGCACGATGTCAGGCTCAGCGACGCAATTGTGAAGCCACTGAGCCCCTCGGCTGCACATATGCGTCTGCCAACGCAGGAAATACGCCGACCGTTGTGGTCGCAATCCGCAAGAGACTGGGCTCCGACCCGAAGAGCCCCGCCCCCCCCAAAAATAGAAGTGCAGGGGTCGGACGGTGTGGCGTAAGCCTATCGAATCATGCGGTCGGACTTCTGGGGCCTCTCTATCTTTCGGGGCTGCAGGATTCGGGAAACCTTCGGCCTCGTCAAAGTCCCCCGGGGGCTTTTGGGGGGCTACGCGGCGCCAGGGTCGGCGGATGTGGCGCAAGCCCATCGAATCCACGTCCGGAAGTGACGTGTTGCCGGAGGCAGGTCCGCGGATGCTGTAATGCAATGGATCCAATGTGTCCAATGCTTGCATCATTCCTATATATTGTATCATGTTACATTATTATGTGTCCCCCCCTACCCCCCCCTGGAGTCGCGCCACTTCCATCGACCCTCAGGAGGAGGGCCTCTTCTGGGCCTCAAAATCTAGAAAAACCTATGGAAAACCGATGATTTGGGCACCTTGAGCCTTTTGGGGATCCAAGAGGGCGTGAAGACGGTTCAAGATGGTGTCAAGACGGGACAAGACGGCCCCAAGACGGCCCAAGATGGCCCCAATAGGGCCCATAAAGCCCCCAAGATTGCCCAAGAGGGCCCTCAGAGCGCCCACCAGAACGCCGCCAGAGGCCAAAAACATAGATTTTCCTTAAGTTTTTTCAAAGAATTTCGCGTTCTCGCCTTTCCCGGCTCTCAGAGGCCCATGACGGCCCTAGCAGCCTCCAAAATGGCCCCAAGACAGCCCAAGCAGCACCCAAGGGGGCCCCAAGACGGCCCAAAGAGGCCCCCAAGACGATCCAAGAGGCCTCCAAGACGGCCCAAGAGCACCCCAAGATGGCCCAAGACGACCCCAAGAGGGCCCCAAGGCGGCCGCGAGCGGCCCCCAAGAAGTCCCCCGAAGGGGCCAAACGGCTCCAAGCGTCCGCAGACGGCCCAAGACGCCCCCAAGAGGCCCCCCGCAAGACCCGGGAAGCCCCGAAGAAGCCTCCATGACCCCCCCAAAAGATTCCGAAATAGCGCCCCAAAGCGGCCCAAGACGCCCCCCAACAAAAACCCAAGAGGCTTTCAGGGGTTCTCAAATGCGCCCGAGAAGCCTTCCAAAAGCCGGCAGAAGTCCTTGAAAGGGACCCAAGGAGCTCCCAACTCACCACTATACACGGATGGGGGCACGGCCCAAGAAGCCCCCAAGACGGCCCCAGAGGACCCCAAGAGAGCCCCAAGGCGGCCGCGAGAGGCTTCCAACGTGGCCTCCGAAGTGGCCAGATGGCGTAAGAGCGCCCAAAGACGGCTCCAAAACGCCCCCGAAAAACCCCAAAAGGCTCCAAAGAAGGGCCCCAAACGGCCCAGGAGGACCCCAAGACGGCTCAAAGAGGCCCCCAAGGCGGTCCCCAAAAACCCTTAGACGGCCCAGAACGACCCCAAGAGAACAACCCCAACGCGGCCGCGAGACGCCCCCAAGACGGCCCCCGAAGGGGCGGAACGGCGCAAAAACGCCCCAAGACGGCCCAAGATGCCCCCAAGAGGCCCCGAGAGGCCCCCAAGAGGCCTCCAAGGAACTCCCAAACAAAAAACTAGAGGCCTCCAAAACATCCCCAAGAAGCCTCCAAGAGGCCTCAAAGAAGCCCTCACAAGGCCACACAACGACTGGAGCGTAATGTTATTTCCCCCCTGGGCGAACGACGGCGCAGCGCCAGCCAGGTGGAAGTTGGTCACGGCGGCGCCCATGATTAGAGCCGGCGCTGGAAGGGAAGATGGGGAGGGAGTATGAAAAGGAGGGGGGGGAGAGGCCCCAAAGAAGCCCCCAAGAGGCCCAAAGAAGCTCCCAAGAGGCCTCCAGGAGGCCCCAGGAGGCTCCCAAGAGGCCCCGCGACGACATGACTGTACGTGCTCCGGACGTGCACCCCGCGAAGCGAGAGGAATCCACGTCCGGAAGTGACGTGTTGCCGGAGGCAGGTCCGCGGATGCTGTAATGCAATGGATCCAATGTGTCCAATGCTTGCATAATTCCTACATATTGTATCATGTTACATTATTATGTGTCCCCCCCTACCCCCCCCCTGGAGTCGCGCCACTTCCATCGACCCTCAGGAGGAGGGCCCCTTCTGGGCCTCAAAATCTAGAAAAACCTATGGAAAACCGATGATTTGGGCACCTTGAGCCTTTTGGGGATCCAAGAGGGCGTGAAGACGGTTCAAGATGGTGTCAAGACGGGACAAGACGGCCCCAAGACGGCCCAAGATGGCCCCAATAGGGCCCACAAAGCCCCCAAGATTGCCCAAGAGGGCCCTCAGAGCGCCCACCAGAACGCCGCCAGAGGCCAAAAACATCGATTTTCCTTAAGTTTTTTCAAAGAATTTCGCGTTCTCGCCTTTCCCGGCTCTCAGAGGCCCACGGCCCTAGCAGGGGCCCCAAGACAGCCCAAGCAGCACCCAAAGAGGCCCCCAAGACGATCCAAGAGGCCTCCAAGACGGCCCAAGAGCACCCCAAGATGGCCCAAGACGACCCCAAGAGGGCCCCAAGGCGGCCGCGAGCGGCCCCCAAGAAGTCCCCCGAAGGGGCCAAACGGCTCCAAGCGTCCGCAGACGGCCCAAGACGCCCCCAAGAGGCCCCCCGCAAGACCCGGGAAGCCCCGAAGAAGCCTCCATGACCCCCCCAAAAGATTCCGAAATAGCGCCCCAAAACGGCCCAAGACGCCCCCAAACAAAAACCCAAGAGGCTTTCAGGGGTTCTCAAATGCGCCCGAGAAGCCTTCCAAAAGCCGGCAGAAGTCCCTGAAAGGGACCCAAGGAGCTCCCAACTCACCACTATACACGGATGGGGGCACGGCCCAAGAAGCCCCCAAGACGGCCCCAGAGGACCCCAAGAGAGCCCCAAGGCGGCCGCGAGAGGCTTCCAACGTGGCCTCCGAAGTGGCCAGACGGCGTAAGAGCGCCCAAAGACGGCTCCAAAACGCCCCCCCAAACCCCCAAAGGCTCCAAAGAAGGGCCCAAAACGGCCCAGGAGGACCCCAAGACGGCTCAAAGAGGCCCCCAAGGCGGTCCCCAAAAACCCTTAGACGGCCCAAAACGACCCCAAGAGAACAACCCCAACGCGGCCGCGAGACGCCCCCAAGACGGCCCCCGAAGGGGCGGAACGGCGCAAAAACGCCCCAAGACGGCCCAAGATGCCCCCAAGAGGCCCCGAGAGGCCCCCAAGAGGCCTCCAAGGAACTCCCAAACAAAAAATTATCCCGGCAAAGCAACCTAACAGCGATGTGTAGAAGCATATCTGAAAGCATTCCCCTTAAGATTCAGATGAAAATCCAGTTGTAGAATTCTGCTGTTCTCGCAGTCGTAGTCGCATTCGCGATGACAGTCGCAGCGGCAACGGCAGTCGCAGTCACAGCCTCAGCCTCAGCCTGCCTCCTCCTCCTCCTCCTCCTTTCTCCTGCTCCTCCTCCTCCTCCTCCTCCTCCTCCTCCTCCTCCTGTTCGTCCTCGTTCTCGTCCTCCTCGTCTTGCTCGTCCTCCTCCTCCTGGTGCTCTCTCCTCCTCCTCCTCCTCCTCCTCCTCCTCCTCCTCCTCCTCCTCCTCCTGGAGGTCCTCGTTCTCCTCCTCCTGGTGCTCTCCCCCCCCCTCCTCCTCCTCGTCCTCCTCCTCCTCCTCCTCGTCCTCCTCCTCCTCTTCCTCCTCCTCCTCCTCCTCCTCCTCCTGGTAGTCCTCCCCCTCCCCTCCTCCTCCTCCTCCTCTTCCTGGTCGTCCTCGTTCTCGTCCTCCTCGTCTTGCTCGTCCTCCTCCTCCTGGTCTCTCCTCCTCCTCCTCCTCCTCCTCCTCCTCCTCCTCCTCCTCCTCCTGGTACTCTCCCCCCCCCTCCTCCTCCTCCTCCTCGTCCTCGTCCTCCTCCTCCTCCTCCTCCTCTTCTTCCTCCTCCCTCCTCCTCCTCCTCCTCCTCCTCCTCCTGGTACTCCTCCCCCTCCCCTCCTCCTCCTCCTCTCCTCCTCTTCCTGGTCGTCCTCCTCCTCCTGGTCGTCCTCCTCCTCCTGCTCGTCCTCCTCCTCCTCCTGCTCGTCCTCCTCCTCTCCTCCTGCTCGTCCTTCTGCTCTCCTCCTCCTCCTGCTCCTCGCTCCTGCTCCTGCTCCTCGTCCTCTCTGCTCGTCCTCGTGGTCTTGCTCGTCCTCCTCCTCGTCGTGCTCTTGCCCCTGCTGAAAATGTGGCCCAGGAATGGGAGTTCTGGGAAGTCGAAGAGCACGAAGTTGCCTACAGTTGGCTACGGGCATTCAAAATGTGGCCCGGGAATGGAGTTCTGGGAACTCGAAGAGCACGAAGTGGCCTACAGTTGGCTCCGGGCATTCAAAATGTGGCCCGGGAATGGAGTTCTGGGAACTCGAAGAGCACGAAGTGGCCTACAGTTGGCTCCGGGCATCCAAAATGTGGCCCGGGAATGGATTCTGGGAACTCGAAGAGCACGAAGTGTGTGACTGTTGCATCCGGCCCTCCAGAATGTGGCCCGGGAATGGAGTTCTGGGAACTCGAAGAGCACGAAGTGTGTGACTGTTGCATCCGGCCCTCCAGAATGTGGCCCGGGAATGGCGTTCTGGGATCTCGAAGAGCACGAAGTGTGTGACTGTTGCATCCGGT